CGTATATTTTATGTGTACAAACAATGAAAAAGAAGAGAGAAAACAATATACAAGGTGATCTGGTTATGTACTGTAACTGTGGGTCGTGAATAGATGACAAGTTAAGTAAGCAAGTCTAATTCTGAAACCCTAGGCGACGAACACTGCATGCCAATAGTAGAAACAGTACGTACGATCACGAGACCAAACTCATACGTACTTTACTTTCTTAGGATCCTTCCACTTGTAGGCACTAGCCTCTTGCCACGTGGTCCCCATCCATTAGCTTTATGGGTCTCATAAATCCCTCGGGGCCCATGTTCCCATCCATGCACATGCTTCACATTAAGCTCTAGCTATGTTAGTGTGTATTTTAAAATACTAACGTTAGTACGCGTATTTAAGTACATATAAACGTATAAAATAATAGGCCTATATATGTGCCTTTTAGTGGAAGAAACGGCCGAAGAAAAACGATGTGGCCTCCATGAAGGTTGCAAAGATTCATTGTCATTTGCACGTGATCACCACCATTCTCCAGCGTCTTATAATATGTGTTTTATATAGCTCGCATGTATAAAATATATACTCTATAGAGTTCAGATAGTTAACTATTTGAGTGTAGGACCATTCACGAATCTTTAGCACTATACTCTAGTTGGAAGAATGAGGATAAATAAGTCAGTTGGCCTATTTGTTATAGAATTTTCTAGAAGTGTTCAGCGTCAATTTAATACCTTGTTATGAAATATTGAAATCCATTGTGGGATTAACCTCAGACGGCCCAAGTATAGGCTTGTGTGGACATTGCATCTAAATTATTCTTTCCTATGACTTCCATATTGATGGGCTTAACTTTAAGCCCGTAATACATTGTACCGAGGTTAATTTATGTTACTGAATCCTGTTTTATTAACAGAATGTTAAAATTGTTCAAACAAAAAACCTTGTACAATGAATGAGACTTCAAAGCATGGTGTTTATGAATAAACTACAGAACCAGAAATTAGTAACTGAACTTGTTACTGAATCTTGAATCGAACCCTAACTTACTTCAGCGTTCAAACCTCATCTCTCTATATAAATAATTGATATGCTAGCTTGTGTCCCAATTCATCCAACCGTTGGTTGATAAAAACTTGATTAGATGGACTATTACAATTTTCACTAACATGGAGTTGGACTAATGGTTAAAACTCTAAGATTAGCTAGTAGGTGTCTACCGGTTCATGAATTCAAGTCCCTCTGGGAAGAGTTCCTTCTCTATAAGATGTCCTAGTGGATGTATGGGCCTATAGGAGGAGGCATTTAGAACTTCTTAATAATTATGATAATGATGCTAACAAAGTTATTGATGAAGATCTTAATCATGTTGCGTTTATTGGAGGACACACCTTTGATGGCGCACCTGCAGTTTGATGGGTCAGACTTTCCAATCATTCAAAATACTTTCACAAGGATTATGAGCTAATAAGAAGATGATCTCATGGTGAATCAGTAAGGATAAGAAATCACCATGGCATCCAGGAGGGACATATATGTTATAACAGTTTGCATGATCATCAAAAGTTAACCCTAGACTTTGATACCATCAGAGTTGATGTCTTTTCGTTTGTTTGTGAAATAATCATTATAAACTAATCAATAAGCAGTGAGATAAATGGTGAGAAAAACAAAATTGGAATGAGTCTATTGGTGCAAAGAATGGGCAGTGTAGTGGAATTGAGAGATGGTGATTGGCTGACCCCATCTTTGATTTTTGAGGTAAGATACAACCCCCTCTCTGGTTTAGATATTTCATGACTATGTAAAGATATTATCGAAACATTTTAATATTATTATACATGTGAATTATTAGTGCTCCATTATCACTTCAAACATATTTTTTTAAAAAAGTAATACAGATTCAATCAGATTCTTACATTAAGCTTATTGATTTCTTTGCTATTTGTTAGTCACCTTTTCATATTAAAATATAGTTTTTGACTGCTTTCGGTTAATCCTTCAAGAAAGGTATGTAAATAGTGTGGGGTAATGAAAACTCTGAGAGTGGTCCAAAATCATAAAATTCTCTTAATAACAAAATGTCCTATTGAATTGCTGGTATAAATCGAGAAGTTTCGGCATTGTCATCCCCACCTTCTGCCACTCAGATCCAACTAATTCTCTTGTTTTATTATGTAAATGTATAAATATTAGGAAAATATATTTGATTAATTACATAGTGTTATTTTGTTTGCCTATTCTACTATTATATTTGAGTAAAGAATGTGTAGATTAAATTGAATGAGTTTTAGTAAGGTGGTGGCTGAGTCCAGGTATAAGAGTTGACGTTCGAACAACGTAAGAGAGACACGACGGATCCAATTAGTCACCTTTTGTCTATTTCTTTTGGACTAACATCACGTCCTATCTCTTGAAGTCACAACGTTTAGAAAAAAAACAACTGAGTGAATATATGACATCATAAACACCTAACATCATCCAAGCTTCTAAAAATAATACAAAACAAAAGAAAACAACTTTTAACCTAATTTTATTTTTATTTTTTGAGAAAAAATTGACTAATTTTAGTTGCAGTGATATGATATTTAAATGCTTTCGCCATGATTACCCGCTTGCAAGTATTAAAAATGATATAGTACATGAGAATTTGGGAATGGGACCCTTTTGTTTCCCAGCTCACAGTTACTTTTTTTTTTTTTAACAACAAGTTTGATTAATGCAAAGAGTTTCAGTACAATGTAGAAGTAGAGCTATTAGTAAGAGCTGATTTTGCAAGCAGATCAGCTGTAGAGTTCTGGAATCAGAGTCGGTCCTGGAAATTTAGGGGTTTTATTCGAAACTAAAAAATATATCTTTGTTTCAAAATTTGAAATATATTTTTATTAATTTTATAAAACAAATAGTTTAAAATAGATATTTTCTTTATAGAAAAGTTAAATTTGTAAGTTTTAATAACATAAATATATATTCCCATCATAATTGTACTATTAAGTTTATTTATCTACATTATAATAAGAAAAAATATATATTTTATATATAATACTTTTATATAACACTTTTTTAAAAAAAAAATGTGGGGCCCTATAAATTAGGGGACGCCATTTTATATATAATATATGGTCTTGGTAAAGAAAACTACAATTTGTACATATGAAGCATTTGTCTAAGTTGACTAGTGTACTGTGTACATGTCAATCATTGTACATGTGGATAGTTAAATTTGTGAACACAGTATCATGTGTATATATGACTACATACATATAAACTACAACAATGTACACAAACAATGATTTTTACCACATTGATATGTTATGATTCAATGATATTTTAACAAATTTAAAAATTTTAGGCCAAATTCGTGAAAAAACTTAAACATATTAGAAATTTGAGATAAATTGGAGAATAAGCAAGAGTAAGAGGACCAGAGGTGTAAATAATAAAAATAAATCCATGGTTGCTCTGATTCAAGCTTTGTTTCGATCTGAGTCTGACACAGTGATTCCGGCGACCACAACTCTGGTCCCAAGTATGACGATGACGGTAAGGAAGAAATCACTTGACCTTGAAGCAGATTGCGGTAGAACTCACTCATAATAGAGTTCACGGTTTGACCTTTGGCTGTCCTGTCACGTTTTCTCCTCAATCTCGACTGAAGCCACGACGATTCCGGCAGCCACAACTCCGATCCCAAATTTGACGTTCACGGTGAAACGGGACTTACAAGTCCGTCACATTTTTTTCCAGATGCTCTGTCACTTCCATATAATAGATCTTAGGTACATAAAACTAGATAATAAAAAAATGTCAAAAACTAAAAAAAAATAATGGTTATATTAAAAAGAGCAGATCTACGTCATCTAGGCTTTTATATTTCAAACACAAAAACTAAAGAAAAGAAAAATATTATTAAAATCTATGGGACCCTTTTAGTTAGATGAATAAACCTGGTTACTAATTATTTAGCATACAGTCACGAAAAACTATCATAAGAGCAACAAGTGTTCTTTAGTGTAATAAAAACTCCGAAACTGCCTCTGAATATAAATGACTCTTGTTTTAGATACATAGGAAAAACCCTTGAAAATGTAGCAATTTATCATTGAGTTGAAAATGTAGCATTTTATCATTGTGTTAATCTCTGAGTGAGCTTTTACAACTCAATAGCCAAATAAGAAATCACAAAAGGTGAATCTAAAGTTGCCAAAAAGGAAAGCATAGATAACATTTTTTTAAAAATATTTATATAACGAAAGATCCACCACCAGGTCATTCAACTTGATTCGGTACCCGCTCTTCACACTCCACTACTACCAAGACAAAGTTCTTTGATGGCTTCAACATTAATTTTCTAAAACAAAGATAACACTTAAAAAATGATTATGCAAAATTAACAATATTGCAACATAGCAATATATATGAAACTATTTAACATATACCTGGAACTGTATAACTACGTTTAATTTACTCTGTCTGATCCTATAGTCTATGACTGCACGAGTTTTACTACAAATGGAATTTAAATGTAGTTAAGCATTTTTTTTCCTTGAAATATTAGTGTTGAATCTGATGCTCCTAGTGGATGAAGAAACAGTGTAGTTCCATGTAAACTTATTAAGATAATATGAACAATACACATACATGGTTGCTAAAAATATATTTAAATGTTTGATATTTTCTATAGTGTACACATGTGATCATTAAAATTTTAGGATTTGGAAAAAAAATCCTGATAGGAGGTTTGTATCTGTAGAACAATACTCGCTTTATTTAGTATCAATTAGTTGTTATAAGATCATCATAATTTTTTTAACAATACTAAAATCTGCATAGAGAGATATTACAACTTTGTTATTAACATTTTAATGTTTTAAGAACTTTGAAAGCACATCAGATAATCTCATACACTACCATTAGTTTATTATGTCACTATATAGTTTTGTTTTCTTCTTAAAGTTTATAATTCCAAATGGGCACAACTAACATGGGCTCTTTCCTTTTATATCACTTCATATTATCTTTCCTCTTATCACAGAACTCTATCAAAAACTCACAGCTTCTCTCCTATCCTTTTCAGTAACCTCACACTTTTTCTCTTTTCTCTCTCTCAATCGATCGATTGATGAAGATCAAGTGCGACGTCTGCGACAAAGAAGAAGCGTCGTTGTTTTGCACCGCCGACGAAGCTTCTCTATGCGGTGGCTGCGACCACCGAGTCCACCACGCTAACAAACTCGCCTCCAAACATCTTCGTTTCTCTCTCCTCTATCCTTCTTCTTCCGACATCTTATCTCCTATCTGCGACATATGTCAGGTCTCTATCAGTTTCTTGTCAATATTTTAGGACATGTGTGTTTTATCTAGTTTCCTAAAATTAATCTGATTTTTTTTTGGTAAACTGTAGGAGAAGAAAGCTCTGTTGTTTTGTCAGCAAGATAGGGCTATTCTATGCAAAGACTGTGATTCATCGATCCACTCAGCCAACGAACACGTCAAGAAACACGATAGGTTTCTTCTTACAGGTGTTAAGCTCTCTACAACATCCTCTGTTTACAAACCTACTTCAGAATCTTCTTCTTCAAGCAGTCAAGATTGTTCTGTCCCTGGACCTCCTTCTTCCAAGAAACCTCTCTCAGCTCCTCAGAGCAACAACTCCAAGAGCCAACCTACTTCGAAGGTAGGTGGTGATGCGGCGGTGAATCAGTTTGGATCCACAAGCACGATTTCAGAGTACTTGATCGATACGTTACCTGGTTGGCACGTTGAGGATTTCTTAGATTCCTCGCTTCCTCCTTTTGGTTTCTCTAAGGTTTGTTTCTTGTTCTTGTCTCTAATCAAGAAAGATTAAGTTTGGTTGGTCAAGATTTGATGTTTAGTAGTAAATTAGTGATTGAAAAATTGCTCGGTTTAGGTGATACCATATCATATCAGATCTTTTTGAGATATTTATATAGTACCAAACTTTATAGATGTAGATAGATCTTGTCTACTTTGGGTATTGTATAAAATTTGAAAAAATAAATTATTTTATTTTCCTTTTCTGGTGTTTTCTTTTTGTGATTGCAGAGTGGTGATGATGATGGAGTGTCACTTCAATCTAAGAATATAGGGATTTGGGTCCCTCAAGTTCCTCAAACTCTTCCTTCTTCATACACAAATCAGTACTTTTCTCAGGACAACAACAACAATGTTCAGTTTGGAATGTACAACAACAAAGAAACATCACCACAAGTGCAGATGTATGCTCCCATACAAAACATGAAACAACAAGGACAGAACAAGAGGTGGTATGATGATGGTGGCTTCACTGTCCCACAGATTACTACGACTACTAGTTTCACTCATCCTCCCCTTCCTTCTAACAAAAGGCCCAGATCTTTCTGGTAATTCACATGTGGTTTTTGTTTGTTTTCCCTTTTAATCTTCTTGATTTTTAGGGTTTTTTTGTTCCGTCTTTTGTACATTTTCTGAGTGATTGAGGTTGCTGTTTTAATATTTTGTAATAATATGCAAATTTTTTTCCTATGCTAATAAGTTTTCATGGAGCAAGACTTTATATTGTTTTCATTTCTCAAGGGAAATAAGTCAATATTTAATGTATAGTAAGTTCCAAATTCTATGTATGAAATCTAGTGGTGTATTTTTGTTTATGAGGAAGAGTCCTTTTCATCTTCTGTTCTGCCCCATTTCCCATATGGGGGAAAGGATTGTTCAAGGATTTGGTTGATTTTTATTAAGAAATAAAGATATGAAGAGACCATGTAATGGAGATAGATTCATCATAACGTGCCCATCACCATCGGCGTATATTTGTTTCTTAGTGAACATGCCTCCAAATGTTTGATAACTAAAGACACGTCATATGGGCAGCCAAAACTATTCATATAAACTACCGACACGCCCTTAACTTGTTTTCATTACCAAACTAAGTGAAAATTGGTAGTAAGAAAGAATTATCAGTTGTGTTGAACCCAAATCAATGACCATATATTGTGTACTTAATGACAAAGAAAAGACTCGTCATCTTCGGTGTGCTAAACTGGCCCAACTAATTCAGGTCCATGTTGGTTCACTTCATAATATATCAATCGTTCGCTTCTCATATGGAAACATGACCAACCCTGGGGCATAGCTCGGCTCAGGTCCCCAAATTTTTTAAAAAAAATTATATGAGAGTAGGGCTTCAATAAACTTTTTTTAGGCCTACAATCTTTTTTTCTAAATAGAAATCACCGCAATCCCCCAAAATTTCAGGACCGATCCTGTATGGAAAACCCGAGACTAGATTTCTTTAAGGAAACACTTTTCGTAGTTGCATACTTGCATTGAGTGTTTTTACAGCAGTCATCGTTCTTTAGATGTTTCATTAGCGATGTCATTAATCTTACTAGGTAAGGAATCCGTTTGACATCATCACACGGACAACGATACTTATATTTTTATAAAAATATTGTTTATTTTTTTCAACGAAATCTTGTAATATGTACGATGTAGATTACATGTGCCTATATTTATTTATAGATATTACTAAAATATTATATTGGTTTTCAATTTCAGATTATAATTCAATTTAATATGTCAATACTAATTAAAAATTATATATATATATTTATTATATTTAAGTTATTTGAAATTATAATTTAATATATTTAAAACTAATTAAAAGAAGCAAACATATTTAAACCTAATCATTTACTACTAAAAACAAAAATATTATTTTTTCGTATTTATCTTCAAATATGTGGGGTACCCCTACGAAAATATTGAATTTTCTAATAAATGCTATCTTTTATATTTAATCTCTTTAGTGTTATTTAAAAATAACTAATCACATCCTAAATTTATATATATGTATGTTAAACTTATTTTCATGGTAGATAGACATCAGTTCTAGTTTTTGATTAAGTAATTTGTTTAAATTTCATAAACCCCCTAGTAAGTGGACTAAGCCTTATAAAATATCTATTTTTTAGAGAAGCGGAAACATCTAACATCTTAAACCTCTTTAATATTCATACTATGTCAGTTCATGATGCATATATGCATTAAAACAAATTTTCTTTTTTTTTTTATATTTATCTTGAAATATGTGGGCCCAGCCCCTACGAAAATACTGAATTTTATGATAAATGCCATCTATAATATTTAATCTCTTTAGTGTTATTAAACAATAACAAATCACACCCTAAATCTATATATGTATGTTAAACTTATTTTCATGGTAGATGGGCATCAGTTCTAATAACACCCTAAATTTATTTATATATGTAGGTAATTTATTTAAAATTCATATACCATCTAATATGTGGACTAATTCCTATAAAATTTCTATTGTTTTTAGAGAAATGGAAACATCTAACATCTTAAACCTCTTTTATATTCATACTATGTCAGTTCATGATGCACATATGCAATAAAACAAAAGTATTTTTTTCCATATTTATTTTGAAATCTGTGGGCCAACCGCTACGAAAATACTGAATTTTCTGATAAATGCTATCTATAATATTTAATCTCTTTAGTGTTATTTAAAAATAACAAATCACACCATAAATTTATATATATGTATGTTAAACTTATTTTCATGGTAGATGAGTATCAGTTCTAATTTTTGATTAAGTAATTTATTTAAACTTCATATAGCCTCTAGTAAGTGGACTCCCCCTATAAAATATCTATTTTTTTAGAGAAACGAAAACATCTAACATCTAACATCTTAAACCTCTTTAATATTCATAATATGTCTGTTCATGATGCATCTATGCAATAATACAAAAATATTATTTTTTCATATTCATCTTCAGATATGTGAACCAACCCCTACGAAAATATTGAATTTCTGATAAATGCTATCTTTTATATTTAATATCTTTAGCATTTTTTAAAAATCACTAATCTCACCCTAAATTTATATATGTATTGTAAATTTATTTTCATGGTAGATGGGCTTCATTTCGAATTTTTTAATAGGTAGTTTATTTAAACTTCATATACCACCTAATAAGTGGACTAACCCCTATAAAATGTTTATGTTTTTTAAAGAAACGGAAACATCTAACATTTTGAACCTCTTTAATATTCATACTATATCAGTTCGTGACGCATCTATGCATTAAAAGAAAATATTTTTTTCATATTTAACTTGAAATATGTGGACCAACCCCTATGAAAATACTGATTTTTTTTTTGTTAAATGCTATCTATGATATTTAATATCTTTAGTGTTATTTAAAAATAACTAATCACACCCTAAATTTATATATATGTATGTTAAACTTATTTTCATGGTAGATGGGCATCAGTTCTAATTTTTCAATAAGTAATTTATTTAAACTTCATATACCACCTAATAAGTGGACTAACCGCTATAAAATCTATATATTTTTTTTAGAGAAATGGAAACAATTAAGGTCATAAACCTCTTTAATATTCATAATATGTCAGTGCATGATCTATCTAGGCAATAAAAGAAAAATATTATTTTTTCATATCTATCTTCAAATATGTGGGATAACCCCTACGAAAATATTGAAATTCTCATAAATGCTATCTTTTATATTTAATCTCTTTAGTGTTATTTAAAAATAACTAATCGCACCCTAAATTTATATATATGTATGTTAAACTTATTTTCATGGTAGATGAGTATCAGTTCTAGTTTTGATTAAGTAATTTATTTAAACTTCATATACCCCCTAGTAAGTGGACTAACCCTATAAAATATATATTTTTTTAGAGAAACGAAAACATTTAACATCTTAAACCTCTTTAATATTCATACTATGTCAGTTCATGATGCATCTATGCATTAAAATAAATTTTTTTTTTTCAAATTTATCTTGAATCATGTGGGCCAACCCCTATGGAAATACTGAATTTTCTAATAAATGCTATCTATAATATTTAATCTCTTTAGTGTTATTTAAAAATAACTAATCACACCCTAAATATATATATATATATATATATATATATATATATATATATATATATATATATATATATATGTATGTATATTAAACTTATTTTCTTGGTAGATGGGAATCTGTTCTAATTTTTCAATAAGTAATTTATTTAAACTTCATGTACCACCTAATAAGTGGACTAACCGCTATAAAATCTCTATTTTTAGAGAAATGGAAACAATTAAGGTCTTAAACCTCTTTAATATTCATAATATGTCAGTGTATGATGCATCTACGCAAGAAAACAAAAATATTATTTTTTCATATTTATCTTCAAATATGTGGGCTAACCCCTACGAAANACTTCATGTACCACCTAATAAGTGGACTAACCGCTATAAAATCTCTATTTTTAGAGAAATGGAAACAATTAAGGTCTTAAACCTCTTTAATATTCATAATATGTCAGTGTATGATGCATCTACGCAAGAAAACAAAAATATTATTTTTTCATATTTATCTTCAAATATGTGGGCTAACCCCTACGAAAATATTGAATTTCTGATAAATCCTATCTTTTGTATTTAATCTCTTTAGTGTTATTTAAAAATAATTAATCACACCCTAAATTTATATATATGAATGTTAAATTTATTTTCATGGTAGATGGGCATCAATTCATTTTTGGTTAAGTAATTTATTTAAACTTCATACACCCCTTAGTAAGTGGACTAACCCCTATAAAATCTCTATTTTTTAGAGAAACATAAACATCTAACATCTTAAACCTCTTTAATATTCATACTATGTCAGTTCATGATGCATCTATGCAATAAAACAAAAATAGTATTTTTTCATATTTATCTTGAATATGTGGGTCAACCCCTACGGAAATACTGAATTTCTGATAAATGCTATCTTTAATATTTAATCTCTTTAGTGTTATTTAAAAATAACTAATAACACCCTAAATTTATTTATATATTTATGGTAAACTTATTTTCATGGTAGATGGGTTTCATTTCTAATTTTTTAATAGTTAATTTATTTAAAATTCATATACCATCTAATATGTGGACTAATTCCTATAAAATTTCTATTGTTTTTAGAGAAATGGAAACATCTAACATCTTAAACCTCTTTTATATTCATACTATGTCAGTTCATGATGCACATATGCAATAAAACAAAAGTATTTTTTTCCATATTTATATTGATATATGTGGGCCAACCCCTACGAAAATACTGAATTTTCTGATAAATGCTATCTATAATATTTAATCTCTTTAGTGTTATTTAAAAATAACAAATAACACCCTAAATTTATATATATGTATGTTAAACTTATTTTCATGGTAGATGGGCATCAGTTCAAATTTTCCGATAAGTAATTTATTCAATCTTCATATACCACCTAATAAGTTGACTAACCGCTATAAAATCTCTATTTTTTTTAGAGAAATGAAAACAATTAAGGTCTTAAGCCTCTTTAATATTCATATTATTTCAGTGAATGATGCATCTACGCAATAAAACAAAATATTATTTTTTCATATTTAATTTTTCAATAAGTAATTTATTTAAACTTCATATATCACCAAGTAAGTGGACTAACCCCTATAAAATATTTATTTTTTAGAGAAACGGAAACATATAACATCTTAAACCTCTTTAATATCCATACTATGTCAGTTCATGATGCATCTATGC